CCAGACCTAGGTGTCCCCTCCATCAGTGACAAGGGCAATGCCACATTTCATATTTAAGCGGTCTGCACACTACCAGGCGGCACGGCAAGCAAGGACAGCGTCTGAGGTCAGCACAAGTCTAAAGTCTGCTGGCTGCTGGAGCCCGGGCCCCCGGCCAGCAACCCACCTCCACAGAGAAGTGCCAGGACATACTATAGTGTTTCCATTTAAGGCCTGCCACTTGGATCAGCCCATCTCTTAAATTTCTTAACACCACCTTTCCAGGAAGAATTTTTTTGGGGAAAAGGGAGGTGGTGTCTATTTTTTACCACCGCCTTCCCTTGGGCTGTCAGAGCAGTCTGTATCTCTGGGACAGAAATTTTTTTTAAATCACTGGGTTATGCCTCAATTCAAGGGCCCATTTTCACAAACATGTAAAACATGTAAAACATGGATGGAACCAGTCTCTTCTCCCATCATCTAACACCTAGCTCACATACCTCAAAAGATAAAGAAAAGCCCAATAAAATGAACAAATCCACTGTATTACCTTCTGCCTCACTCCACAAGCCAAATTAATGACAACTTTTAAAGCAAGACTTTTCTGCTATTAAGTGGAATGTTTTCTTTCCCTAAGTAGCCTCCTCCACAGCTCAACCGCGAAAGGAGCGTTCAAAACTCCAGGGGGAAAGGGGGAGGGGGCATATCTCGCACAAACTGGACAAAGCTGAGCCAGTCTAGAATCCGACGGAAGTCACTGAATCCAGCGGCCTCGGAAGCCCACACTTCTCCTCAGCGCAACCAAGGTTCTAGCCTCACTGTTTTGGTTACAGTGTTGAAGGAAGGGTTTTAAACTTGGCAAAGTACCATGCAACATCTGTAACCACATTTGCCTTCTGGGGATCGGAAGATGAATCCCACATTCCTGGCTTTGAAGCTTTTTAAAACTGCAGCTAGGAAGAAGGGAGGGAGAGAGGGAGTTGAGCAGAGTTTATTGGCTGTCTCTCCAGCAGAAAATTCTCTTGGAAGGGATGGCTACGTTGAGGGTGGGGGGATTCGCCCATCTCTCCACTCTACGAAGCTCAGCTGGGAAGGTGAGCCCCGCGGCCGGGTCGAGTCTGTTTCCAACTCCGAGGCGCACACCCCGAAGGCGTTCGTTACACACCCACTCACACACGCCGTGAGTGCGGCCGGGACCCGCTCCGCCGACGCCCTCCCCCGTACCCCACCAGCGGTTCAGGCCCAAGGCAAGACAGTTTCGCTCGGCGGCCGCCTACGAAGCTCAGCTGGGAAGGTGAGCCCCGCGGCCGGGTCGAGTCTGTTTCCAACTCCGAGGCGCACACCCCGAAGGCGTTCGTTACACACCCACTCACACACGCCGTGAGTGCGGCCGGGACCCGCTCCGCCGACGCCCTCCCCCGTACCCCACCAGCGGTTCAGGCCCAAGGCAAGACAGTTTCGCTCGGCGGCCGCGTTCCCCACCGAGAGGCTCGGGGGAGACGGGAACGGCAGCGAGGGGAGGCACCGCGGACGCCCACCTCCGGCCCGGATCCCACCACTGCTCCCTCCCG